ATGCTCCTTGTGTCAGACATCAAGTTAGTACGTATAAAAGCAGATGCTCCTTGTGTCAGACATCAAGTTAGTACGTATAAAAGCAGATGCTCCTTGTGTCAGACATCAAGTTAGTACGTATAAAAGCAGATATTCAAACCTATGGAAAAGACGTCTAATGAGAGAAGACGTTATTTTAAAGTGACTTGTAACGAAAGACAAACATCATGTGATGCATTGTGGGAAGAGTACGAAACGATGTTTTTATCAGATTCAACCCGGAAACTAGAGTCACGATGTTGTGAAGATCAAGTTGTTCGGCTAGAAGGCAATAATAACAGACCCTTGGACGACAAACATGGATAAGTGGTTTAACTCTAAGGAGTGGATGTGATGAACGGGGTAAAAGGGTAAAACAAAAATGGAAGTTATTTTTTTTTAAGTTACAGAAAAATATAAGTTTCACAAGGTTTTCAAATCAAGTCTAGACATGACATGAATCTCCAAGCATCCCCCGTATTCTACTTTCTAGGCTGACCAGGTGTTGGTCCCACCAAATTGCCTAATTCCTGGACAATGACCTGGATCGAAAATAACTCGCTGGGTCCGAGACTATCAGTTTTATTCCACAATTCTTTGAGTTAGCCATTGTATGTACACGATGTGATTTATTAAATCTGACAAAAAATATAGACGAATTAATACCATTCTGCTCTCTCACTATTTACAAACATCAAATTAACTACGAATTTTGAGGCCTAACCTTTACATAGTGTCAATTGTCAGGAACAGTTTGTTTGTTTTTAATAGAAAAAAAGCGAACTTATTTTGAAAAATGACTTAATTATATTTTCCTGGTAGTACTAAAAGTTAACCTCAATACCTGGAGAGAGACTCTCTTCCTCCGCACCATGCCCTCGTAGTTCAGGAGTTTCTCCCGAATATTCCGTACAATTACACTTATTACACGGCCCTTCTTTATAAACTATTTTTGTAACGAACGGACTTGTTTTTGAAGAGACTATTTAACTGCAGAAGTAGAAAGTTATTGTTCGAACATTATCCATGGTAACGAGTAAAATATTGTTCAAACATTGTCATCCAAAGTAACAATGAATTTCCATCCCAGTCCACCGACTTCATTAAACTTCCAGCTACTAGTATTTTTCTCAGTGATATTTAACGGAAGAGGTTTGTATCTACCAAGGTATTGTCCAAATTATATTGTTGTTTCAAAACATTATTAAGGGGGTTTGTTTATCGTTGAAATATTATTTCTTGGACCAGACGTCCGGCAAAAAGAGGACATGTCCTCCTTTTTAAACTCCCGTTTTCCGCCCGGCAGGCGTTTTGAGTATAGACAACACGCCGCCGCCATTTCCCTGCGAGCGTTTTCGTTAAGAAAAACTTGCCCATTTCCCACACAAGCATGTCTGACCATATATACTCAAGTTTCTCTTTTATTGCCTAGAAATATTATATATATATATATATATATTATATTGTATATTAATCAAATAAAAAATTATTAAACATATCGTACGATAAATGACAGTTGAAAGTTATCACCGGACATGAACCAACTATCGTATGTCACGCGTTTGTTTTTCTCTCCAGATATGGTAATTTGTTTTCTAACCATTTTGTTAGGAGTTTGGTTTAGAGAACCTTTCACAAGGTAATGGAATTCGTTTGATCCGTTAATCCCACCTCTCACAAGGTAATGGAATTCGTTTGATCCGTTAATCCCACCTCTCACAAGGTAATGGAATTCGTTTGATCCGTTAATCCCACCTCTCACAAGGTAATGGAATACGTTTGATCCGTTAATCCCACCTCTCGCAAGGTAATGGAATTCGTTTGATCCGTTAATCCCACCTCTCGCAAGGTAATGGAATACGTTTGATCCGTTAATCCCACCTCTCACAAGGTAATAGAATACGTTTGATCCGTTAATCCCACATCTCACAAGGTAATGGAATTCGTTTGATCCATTAATCCCACCTCTTACAAGGTAATGGAATACGTTTGATCCGTTAATCCCACCTCTCACAAGGTAATGGAATACGTTTGATCCGTTAATCCCACATCTCACAAGGTAATAGAATTCGTTTGATCCATTAATCCCACCTCTCACACGGTAATAGAATACGTTTGATCCGTTAATCCCACCTCTCACAAGGTAATAGAATATGTTTGATCCGTTAATCCCACCTCTCACAAGGTAATAGAATATGTTTGATCCGTTAATCCTACTTCTGCATAGCCTAGATAAAAATGACGTTTCACCGTGTAAAATTGATTCTTTTTTTTTTTTACAAAGATCACAATTTGTTTAGATAAAAGAATTTCTGTACAATTTCCCTCATTCAAATAAACTTCCTTAAAATTAATTGTTTTTTTTTCATTTCACTTTTGCCTTCGTTCTCTTCCTATCAGTACTCTGGTAACCCTAGACATACTGGAAATTGTACACTGTGCCGTCTTCTGGAACTTAATATTTATGTGGCGTCACCTATAATCCTGTTTTTATCTTCTAAATGATTTATAAATCAAGGAAACGTAAACCCAAAATCTATAAATACAAGCACACACACACGGGTGTATGGCCGATTTTCAACCAATGGAACTCTAGGCAAGGTTGACATAGTACATTAATATTGGACTGCTAGTTGTTGAAAGAAAAAAAAGCAGTCGAAACGTCGTCTTTCTTTTCTTTCGACAGACAGTTGCAGTCCATTAAAGTTCTCTAATCTGCCATAGCTTTAAATATAGCATAGCCAGAGAAAGTAATCCCTGATCTTATATTACTACGCTAGACGGATTTATTTTCCGCCATCTTGCAACATCAATTAGAATTTCAATATTTAAAGCATGGCTAAAATCAGTGTTAAGGTTGTGATCTCGGAATATTTGTTAAGCATAAAGCAGCACAATGACCTATCCATACAGAGATCGAACACCCAAGTTTAACGTTATAAGTCTCAAGCTTACCGCCGAGATACTGGGGTAGGGGAGGAACTGGTGGCCAATAAAAATGGAATAGGATTTAAATTTTAACTACATAACCCTTATACTTTCGACATTCCTCAAAAGATTTGGGAAGAAGAAAAACCGGACCACATCGATTTGTGTGGTCAAATGTTATCCCATGAAAGATGAATGAATATTTCCACTTTGATTATAACTATTGATGGAGGATCAAGTTTTACACAATAAACTTGTTAATTTGTCAAGAAGAGTAAAACACAAAAAAAAGCTTGTTAATAAGTGTGAAACAGTTTGTCAAAAGATGTGAAATGAGAACTTTGTTTAGAAGTGTGAAATATGAAGAAAAAACGCACATAAAACAAATCATCCTCAGATTTTAACAACCACGTGCTACGAGTTAACAATGGTAGGGTACAATGTATCGTTAATCTACTTTTTTCAGGACTTCCTGTTGTTGAGGCTTTCCTATCACTTGACTTAACAGAAAGCAGTAAAACATGTGGTCATCGAACCAATTCTCTGTTTTTTACCACCAGGCGGCCATGCATTTAGAT